TATTCCGTTGGAAAAAAATCAGACATTACTCGAGCATCAAAAATGGAAGGGAACACCCTAATATGGTTATATAGTAGGTATAGGCCTAGGCTTTGGTCTTTACCTCGAGCTAGGCCAGCCTGCCTAAACTTTAGACTTTCTTGATGTCGTATGTTAGTTTTTGCCTATCAACAACCAATCCAACCACACACCCATCACAAGGAAGGCCGCCCACATGTAACAAGTTATTTTTAGCAGCGACAGTCTCTGTGGAAAATGTGAGTCTTCATGCGAATCAACAATCCGATCAGCCCACTGGGGGGTCTCCTTATTAGGGTGTTCCCTTCCATTTTTGATGCTCGAGTAATGTCTGATTTTTTTCCAACGGAATATAGGCCTAGTTTTAGATAGGCCAATGAATCATAGGGCAGTTGTTTAAAATGCATCTTCCACTTCAAAAATATAAAGAAACAACAAAGGCGATAAAACGCACCCTTGTGGTGCGCCTGTATTAGATGTCATATAGTTGGAGGCAACATCTCCAAACTTAACTTTTTGTATTTTATCACTCATAAAGTTACTATTCCACAGTGATATACGAGGATCTAGATGCATATTTCTGAGCTTTCATACTAAAACATGTGTTTGTATTCTATTAAACACAGAACTGAAATCCAAAAATAATGATATAACATGGCAATTGGCTTTATCAAAGTGTTCGTAAACTCCATGCAGAAATGTGATTATTGCATCGTCTACTCCATTTTTTTTTGCATAATATGCAAACTGATATGAATCACGGCATTTTTTTGTTTGTTCAACTATCATACCTTTAATTATTATTCCAAAACTCTTCATAACAATGGATGTTAATGCAATTGGTCTGTAGTCGTCTAATGAATTTGGTTTAAATATCTTACTTAATGGATTTATATTTGCAGATTTCCACAGTTTTGGAATACAGTAGGTACCTAATGACCAATCAAACAAGAAAGAGAAACTGTATGATAGTTCTTCATGACATGACTTTAAAACCTTTCCAGAGATCATATCTGGACCAAACGCTTTGTTTGGTTTAATATATTTAATTACTCTTTCGACGTCTAATACACTTATTTTCATTTTCATCTACCTCATATATTAAAGACATATTTATAGTATTTAATTCATTTTCGTAGTCAACTCTGTCGAAACGATTAAAGAATACATTTAAATTGTTTGCAAATTCAGTTGGATTAACACCTGGTAATAATTTAACATCTTTCTTTCTCCAGTCCAGAATTTTTTATTGATTCTTTCTCCAAATTTACGTTTGCTTTTCTTGATAAATTGTTCTATATCGTTTTGTATTTGCCTCTTTACTTCATTTTCATTGCGTTGAACTGCTCGCTGTTTTAGTTTTAGGAGTTGTTTAATGTCTCTTGTCATCCATGAGTGGGTGGGGGGGGGGGGGTGGGTGGGGGGGGGGGGTGGTGGTGTTGTGGGGGGGGGGGGGGGGGGGGGGGTGGTGACGCTTTTTTTTTCATAAAAACACAAAAAAGGGGGGAAAAGGGAAAATTAGTATTCTTAGATTGCGGGAAATGAGCTTTCCAGACTTCGGAGATGTCTTTTAATGACTTTTAAGTTCTTCAAAATTCAAGGTTTCCTCCCTCTTGAAAACGGTCAAGTAAAATTTCTCATTCTTATTACAGTAAATAGGCCTACTTATGTGTGTATACGTACATAAAAAAAATTAAGTTGCTTACGTATTCTTTTTTTCCATGAATGGATAACCCCAAAGAGGAAGGGGGTCCTTGGGTCCTCCCCCTGGAAAATTTTGATCACTAGATGGTAGGAAATGAGCTTTCCGACTTTTGATGTGTCTTTTAATGACTTTTAAGTTCTTCAAAACTCAAGGTTTTTCCCCCTCTTGAAAACGGTCAGGTAAACTTTCTCATTGTTATTACAGTAAATAGGCCTATTTATGTGTGTATACGTACATTTAAAAACATTGAGTTGCTTACGTATTCTTTTTTCCATGAATGGATAACTCCAAAGAGGAAGGGGAGGGGGATCCATGGTCATCCCCCGGGAAAATTTTGATCACTAGATGGCAGAAAATGAGCTTTACCGACTTGAGGTGTCTTTTAATGACTTGTAAGTTCTTCAAAATTCAAGGCATTCCCCCCTCTTGAAAACGGTCAGGTAAACTTTCTTATTCTTATTACAGTAAATAGGCCTACTTATGTGTGTAAGCGTAAATTACAAAAAAAATTGAGTTGCTTACGTATTTTTTTCTATGAATGGATAACCCCAAAGAAGGAGGGGGTATGGGGCCCTCCACGGGGAAAAATTTGATCACTAGATGGCAGGAAATGAGCTTTCCCGACTTCTGAGGTGACTTTTAATGACTTTTAAGTTTTTTAAATGTTAAGGTTTTCCCCGCTTGAAAACGGTCGGGTAAACTTCTCATTCTTATTACTGTAAATACTAGTAGCCCTACTATGTGTGTATGTACAGTACATGTACAGTCGCTGCATACATATTCTTTTTTCAATAAATCGATGAACCCCAAATAAGACGGTGGTCAGGGGTCCTCCCCAGGAAAATGTTGGTTCTTAGATGGCGAGAAATGAGTTTTTCGGACTTCTGAAGTCTTTTAATCAAAATTCAAGGTTTTCCCCTTTTGTAAACGGTCTCATTCTTATTACAGTAAGTAGGCTTATGTGTGTACCGGTACAAAGAGATATTTTTCTCCAAGGGGGTTCAGGAACCCTCTGATCCCCCCCCCCAGATCCGCCAATGGGGTATATCTTAATTTCTTTTTCTTTAATGATTGATGACACACAAATGGTTATGTATGAACTCACAGCCTCAGTGGGCTCATCCAGTGAAGACATATGTGTGAAAATGTCCCAATGGTTGTTTCAAAGCATAATTAGCTCATCAATGCTATCATCTGACCAGATGCATAAGCAGAAGTGGTAGAATGAGGACAGTGGGGGCGCACACGGACAGTTACAAGTACTCATTTTACACAACTGGGATAAGGGAGTTTATTTTAAAGCATTCAAGAAGATAATTATATAGCAAGTGAGCAATGTAATTTCCAAAATTATTGGACAATACAAATTAATCTGTATCTCCAATTTATTAAATTCCACATATAGTGGCTCGAGGCCAAATTGCATGTAAGTTTCAAGTTAAAAAAATGTAAAAGTTCTAAAGTAGCAATATAAAATTGACCTTAAAATGTGTTATGTTACATCAGAAAAAGTACAATAAAAGAAATGTTTATTTCATTTCAAAGTTATTAATTTCCACATATAGTGGCCCGAGGCCAAATTGCATGTGAGTTTCAAGTTTAAAAAATGTAAAATTCTAAAAGTAGCAATATAAAAAAAAAAAAAAAAAAAAAAAAGAAAAAAAAAAAAAAAAAAAAAAAAAAAAAAAAAAATCAAACTATCCATTTACGAAACTGGTTTTGTTGCTTAATTTTAAAATCTTACTGCAGAACATACTAAACCATTTGAGTTTTTGTAATAATCAAAACACCTATTTCGACAACCGATGTCTCGATCGTACAAAAACTAACATAAGAAATAAGAATATAATATCAAGATTTGGAAAATATATTTAAAAAAAATGCAAATTTGACTAGTAAAAGCAAAATTCCTGGCGCCATCGCTGGCTTGGTACTTTCTGTTTATGCTGTAATATGTCCCTTAAGATTAATGCTGAAATTACAATGCAATATAGGCCTACTCACTCAAATAGTGTACAAAAGTTAAGTTACACAAACTGTAAATTCAGAAAAAAAGCAATGATATGTTTAATTCATTTCAAATTTATTAAATTCCACATATAGTGGCCCAAGGCCAAATTGCATGTAAATTTCAAGTTTAAAAAATACAAAAGTTCTAAAAGTAGCAATATAAAATTGACATTAAAAAGTGTTAAGTTACATTAGAAAAAGCACAATAATAGAGATGTTTAATTTATTTCCAATTTATTAAATTCCACATATAGTGGCTCGAGGCCAAACTGCATGTAAGTTTCAAGTTTAAAAAATGTAAAAGTTCTAAAGTAGCAATATAAAATTGACCTTAAAATGTGTTATGTTATACATCGGAAAAAACACAATAAAAGAGATGTTTAATTCATTTCAAATTTATTTAATTCCACATATAGTTGCCCGAGGCGAAATTGCATGTAAGTTTCAAGTTCAAAAAATGTAAAGGTTCTAAAAGCAGTAATATAAATTGACATTAAAAATTGTTATGTTACATCAGAAAAAGCACAATAAAAGAAATGTTTAATTCATTTCAAAGTTATTAAATTCCACATATAGTGGCCCGAGGCCAAACTGCATGTAAGTTTCAAGTTTAACAAATGTAAAAGTTCTAAAAGTAGCAATATAAATTTCACATTAAAAGTGTTATGTTACATCAGAAAAAGTACAATAAAAGACTAATCTTTATATAAAGAGGACACAAGAATAAAACAAGTACAAAAACCTTACAATATGCACACCAATAAGCGTTAAACATTATAATATAACCAACATCATGTTAAGGTAAACTAAATATAAAGAGAAAGGAAAGGAGTGCAAGCAGGGGAAAGTATTGAAAACATAATTATTATTAATAATTATTATCATTAATAAGCATTATATATAATATATATAATATATATATATATATAATATATATATATGTATACATTAGTCGCCTATTGATAGAAGTAACTATCACCTATATTGTATATATTACTTAGCGTTATGCAATGTAGATCAGTTACGCTGATGAAGTCTTCAGGAGAGGACGAAATATTCTTTTAAATAAAATATATTTATGTTCCGAAATATGTCAACATTTTCTTTACTGTTTGTCTCCGGCACACGCACTTTTCTTTATAATACGTGGAATATACGTGCAACACAC